TGAAAACCAAGAATATACATACACACACATACATATATACATACACACATACAAACATATATATATACATACATACACACATACATATATATATATATAACAAAAACAAAAAAAAACACTATGCTGCCCCTAGCCATTCAGACGCTTCATTCTAATGCTAGAGATATTTTACTCCATTTACTATTATGCTTTACAAGAATACCTTTTGACTCGGCCATTTTATGCTCTATTTTTCTGTTGTATTTAAGAACATTTTTGAAGTGTGATAAAGTGGGAATTTTTTCTTTATCTCTAGATTTATATTGCTCCAGTACTTCTCGGTCGAAGTTACCGGGAAGTACTTCAGCGAGAGAGATGGATGCCTGGGTTGGTGTGAAAGATTACTTTAATTATTCAACACGATGACACAACAAGGAAAAAGATTTTTAAAAATAATCAATGCCAAACCCTCCTTTGGGGTATTGGTATTTGTTATTGAATATAGGATACTTTTATCAAGTTAGCGTTATTTACCAAATGTCAAAAGTAGTACGTAGGAGGACTAACTACAACAATGTGCGTATTTTCGTCAGAATGCAATTTTCATATATCTTCTTCACTAGAAGCCGAGAAGCAATTTCATCTATACCAGCTTTATCTCAAGAGCAGGAACAGGACTTGCCTAGTTGTTCGAGCTTGYCTGRTATAGCTTCTTGCGTTTGACGGGTAACTGACTCGACTGACTTATTTCTGTCTCTTCGATCATAGCTACACGGACCTCCAACTATAGAACTAAACGAACAAACCACTTCCATGTTTATACAGTTATTGCAAAATTTTCTCATGGAAAGATGGCACGTGATTTTAATCATTACGGCAGTCAACTCAATGTTAGTTTCATGCATTATCAAAACAATGTTTATTGAAGGAAATTGCTATTATTAAATGCTACTGGATTAGTAAAACCATATTTTGAAAATCCAATGAAAGAGCTGCTAAATAAAATAAAGTTAGTTCACTGATATATTTAGTTTGAAAGTTTTATTGTTCGATTTTTATCTGCGTGTTCATTTTACTGACAAAGCATGCTTTGTGTCACGCAATAGAATGAGTTAAAAAAGTATGTGATAAAATATGTTAATATTTCGCAATTGAAATGTGTTGGATATTACTATGATGTCTTTTTCTTGGTTTGATCCCCTAGTTTTAGCAAAATTCAGCGATGGAATGATTGCAATTAAAATTATAGTCATGTCGGTGGAGGTAACGCAACAAGCTGTTTACGGTTGAAATATCGCGAAATAGAGATAGTAAAAAGACCTCAACGGAAAGCTAAAAATGATTTGCCCAGAGATTTTTCT